AGAGAGAGAGAGAGAGAGAGAGAGAGAGAGAGAGAGAGAGAGAGAGAGAGAGAGTACCTCCTGTATGAACCACACTTGGAGATTGTCTTTTGCCGTCTGTGATGGCATAAATTCTTCTTTGTCATCGACGTCCAGTACAATTGTTCCAGTCATTGCGCAGGTACTTCCGTCACCATCACACACATGGCAGTCATCGAGCATCCCATTTGGGCAACAGACTCCCGACGCATCCCTCAATGTGTGGCAACAAGTTCCCACCACGTCCACAAACCTGCAAAGAAGCCGACATAGGGCCCATTACTAGATGCTGACAAGAATAAACTACGTGCCTCTCTCTAGATGTGCAAAGAATGCATAAGCTTAGTATTCAAAATTACAAGAACCATATTTGGATATCAAAGAAACAGATATTGAGGGGTACACGATAGCTTTTCTAGTTCTGCTGCTTCTGGAAGCTTTCATGATTGTTGTGTAATGTTTCACATGTTAGCTCTTCTACTTTTTCTTTTCTTTTGAACTTTGAAGTGTTTTAAAACTTTTGATCCCTATGTTTATTAGTGTAGGGGTATGGACCGTATGGGGTAACCATTTTGTGATTGTTGTAACGATCCTGGCCAATTTTGAAGTGCAAAATTCACGAGAAAGCACAATGCCGTCCAATTGCAAAAGAGAACTTGCTCCCCTCTACCATTGCACAATTCTGGCGTACCGCTGCTTGAATGGTACCGGCGTACCTGCTCCCCGCTGCTCTAAGTGTCGTGGGCCTACTCCCGCTACTTGAGTGTTTTCCCCACTGCAACCCTCAGAGTCACGGCCACAGTTAAGTACCGGCCCCTATTGGGCCTTTCAAACAAACAAGTGCCCTGGTGGGCCACACACACACTCAGACCGACAAGCACTCAGACAGGCACACGCACACAGACTTAGAAAACTCAGCAGAACGCAGGAATCTCAGCAAGGCATTCATTCCAGTGACAAAACTCAGAAATCAGCAGTGTTCTCAGTCTGTGTTTTGGCAGGCCATTACATTTGCACATGTAGACACAGAAAAATATGGGCAGCGTATCAGCTTTGTTTGTATACTTTACTTGGATCTGTTTTCAACTTTTCATGCTTAGAGGATGACACACATCGCATACCTATACTGCTTCTTGTTGCCTGTCCCATTCCTTGGGCCCGTGTGTGCCACTGTGCCCGTGATACTTTGGAAGAGGCTGTCCTAAGGGAGTTAGAAAGAGAAGTTAGGAAATACTTCCCCATAGCCGCTACTCCTGCAGACCAGACAGGACTGATTCCGGTGAGGACTAAGGGAGCACAGCATCCAGTCCTCACCACTCCATGAAAGATGTTATTCTCTGTGATTGTAAAGCGGTATATGTCTTTCATGATTGTTGTGAGCTGGTCAAAACAGAACCCCTCACGAACATCAAGCAAACAGTAGAGAGTCTAGACACAGAAATCCACGCACTTTGCCAGAGAGCCAGAAAAAGACCACAAGTACCTGTCAGAAGGAAGGAAGCCATAGAGACGTTCACCAGGGAAAAGCTGGGAAGTGGAAAACAAGGAAACATAGTCGACGATAAACTGCCAATGGGAAATATGGTTAATGATGCCGACAAACAATAGCAGCCAGGTAGGAAATGGCATGGATAGCGACCCGGCCGACCACCTAGAACAAGCAGGACAGACAGTGGAAGAGGACACCAAAAACACAGGCCAGGTTAGTCATCACCAGCCCCAAGGACTGGCACTTGCAAATTCTTCCCCTAGGTACGCAGTTGCGAGGGTTTACCCCTCGACTAAGGCCTTGCAGCAGGCACGTGCCCGCCCTAAGTGAAGGCGGGCCCCCCCTGAACCCCGATGTGCCCTGAGTTCATCAATTTTTGCAAATCTTGGTGGGTGCCAGACAGTTGCCACGCACCAGTTGGTTACATCCGCGTTGCTCGACAGATTCCAAAATAATTGTGAGGCTTCCAGGCTCTTCCAGCAACGTGGACGAAGCAGGGAGCACCGCACGTTTGTGCCTGGGCGGTTGGGCATGCCTAACCAATTCGGTCCCAGGCCACTGTCTGAACAGGTTTCGGCGCAGACACTTTGGCCGATACTGACGCTACTGGAAACTCGGTCTCACGTGGGAAGCAAGCCGAAAGAGCCCGCCACTTTCCATATAGGAAAGGGCTGGGCTCCGGGGTGGACATTCAGGCACTTGCAATTGCGGGTGGCAGCGCTGCTGGAGCGATTGCTCGTAGGCTGCTTGCTGCACTAGCGCTGGTGCTGCGTGCACACGCGGACGTGCAGGGTGCAGGGCGCTGCTGAGGGCAGCGCCATAGCCAGCCCCCATAGCCGGGCATGGCTTGGATATAGCCAGTGGAGGTGGTGGTGGTCTTCGTGTTTGAGGGTGAAGACGTGGGTGAGAAAGTCGAGGGTGAGAGAGAGAGAGAGAGAGAGAGAGAGAGAGAGAGAGAGAGAGAGAGAGAGAGAG